ATTACTGTTTTTTTTTTAAATATGTCGACAAAAAAAAAAACACTTTTACTGTCGACACGGACAATTAGGGCCGCGGTAGCATAATGGTGAGTGCATCCGTCTGCTGCCTGGTCCGCGTGGAAATTTCCTAGAAAATTTTTCTTTTAAAAAAATTTTAAAGCACAATGTTAAAATTGGCCTAAGAACCAACACCAATTTGGCATTTATGATAATTCTTAGTATATTTTTTGCGATAATTATCAGTATTTAGATTGTCACGGACACTTCCAGTTAAGTAAGCTAAATTAAAAAGTTAAAAATAATCTGAGACAATAAATACCATTTTATGTGTATAATCTATGACAGCGCTGCAAACAAAACACTCTTTCTTCCTAATGCCGACACTTCACTTGGCTATTCGTATAAGTATTTGCTATTTGAAAACATGGCATCAGTCTGTCCTTTTCGTTTCTTATTAAGCATGACAAGGACAAACTGTTGTCAAGTGAAGGGCCGGCATAAAACTCGATAATCTGTGGTTGTGGTGCAGGCAGTTTGCATTCGTAGTAATATGTGGCATTCGTGCATTCTCGTTTCGGATTACCTGTTGCGTGTGTTTTATTTGCGATTTTTTTTCCTTTAATTTAACTATTTCGGCTATCTAATATGCCATCGATGTAACGAAAGAGCAGAGACCTTATTACCAAGTGCTAGTGAATCTGTGCCACTACATCCTGAGAGGATCATACTGCCAAATTATTCAAGAGCACCTGATACACATTGACGCTGCATATTTACACAATATACAAATACATGTGAAATACAAATAAATACAATATACAATATGATAAAATTATGTAAAAAATAGCCAATAAATAAGAAGCAAAACTACAGTTTTTATTTTATTCATGATTCCTACCTAACCAAGTTTTTCCTAATAGCTATTCTATAAAATCGCACCGAATTAAATGAATTAGTTGTAATATTAATTCACTTCATACTGGTTACATACACGTTCATAGGTACTAAGTTCATAGGTTGACCTATGTTTCATTGAATATTAAACATAACCTCAAAAATATTTTGTTTTCCTAATAATTTAAGTTCTCAGAAGTGTCCGTAAATAATACTTGTTTTTACAGTCATTAACTTGCGATTTCGAACCTAGAAAATAATATTTCATGATTGTTGGTTCTTAGGCTAACTATGTATGGACGCAGAACAATATCCTTTAAACATTTGGCAGTTAAATGCTTAAATAATAAAAATATAAGAAAATTACCGTTGTTTCACAACATAATTTTCAATAAAGTCAGATACAGACTGGCTGTCATTTTTATAAGCATTTCCGAAATAATTATCAAAATTGCCACCTACATATCAGTAATCAGTAACAATACATGTCCACTTAGTGAAATAGAACCCTGGTTAAAAAGTTGCTTAATGTCGTAAATAGTTTTAAGGTGTTAAATACGTCGGTACAGTCATTTATCTGAGGTAGCAGTAATCTTTCCAGTATCTGTTTCGATTCTTAGAAAGGGGTTTGAGGAGACCTAGGTTTAAGTATCCTCGCCCTAAACTACAAATGAGTTATTGAACGGCCAAACTTTACTAAGAAAGTAGTCTGGAAATTAATACTTAGCCAACGATTTGTAGATAGCCTTGTAGAATAGATTAGAGTTTTGTTGGATAATCTAGGGCTTGCTAGCGATGAGGTTTGCAAAATAGTATTATTAAATAAAACTAGTTTTTTACGGGTTAATGCACGAAACTTTATTTATTTATTGAGTATTATTGCCAATTTACAGCTAGTTTTTCAATTATTGGCCTAGAAATAAAAAAGTACCATTTGCAAACATCTGGAGAAATGGAGTGAAATTAAGTAATAGCCACATTTTTATAACTAAAGAAAAACAATAACGAACATTATTAATTTTAGGCGGGGTGGGTATTTTGTTGCGCCTCGTAGGTATATAAAAAAATTAAGAATAAATTTACTACATTTTTAGATTACCTGTTTGTCTTAGCGATTTGTTTGATGTTTAATTGTTCGTTAGGCCGCTGATTTGTGTGTTCATAATGTTTGTTTCATAAATACGGGTCAGCGTGGGCTCAGCGCAAGGCACACTTCCATCATGCGTCTATATTCTAGGAGAGATGAGTTAAATTATATCATCTAAAATAGACAAGATAATTTGATTTGGACTATTTATATAATTTTTAAGAAACGTTTCCAATACACTGGGTCTTATTCAATATAAAATCAACACCTCGATTTCGGTTAAAAATGGCGCCGATTGCGCCTCACTTCTGCAGTGGAGATTCCACCTCTGCCCAATGCTATTGAAAATTTACCAGCATAAAACTAGAGTGCAGTAAATCACTAAGTAACGTATCGATTTCTTTAGACTGAGAAGGGCAATGTACCAAGATTGCTCTGTTAAGTATTAATGAATATTGCGGATGGAACTCCACCAGACTATAGAGTGCTATGTTGGAGTTCCGCTCTTTGTCTTTGACTGTAAATAGTTAAAACTTCTTCACTTTTTAATTATTTTGAAGCTTCAAAACCTTTACTAGTAGGTAGATGGAAAATATAAAATCATAATTGTAAACTAAGGATATCATTACTCTCTTATGGCCAATTAATCAGTGTTTTAGAAGTGTAATAAAAATGTCACGTATTAACAATTTTTTTAGATTGTACAAGAAAATTAGTATGTCATCGTTTCCTTGACAGTTAGGTGTCAAGAAATAGATGAAAGGACATTGCTCGTTCCCCATACATTGAATGCCCTAGAACGCCCAGCAATAAGAAAATGCTAGTTGTGTTCGGAATCATTCATAAACTCTAATTAGGCATTTGTTGAGATACGGACAACTTGAGGAACCGTGGCCTACTACAGAATGTATTTGATTTTGAGGTTATAATTATTATCCTTAATCGTAAAAGATGTACACTTTATATATTCTGAATACATTTAGTGTTTACCTCTATGTAAGCACTTAAATAATATGCATTAAATGAACATAAAATGCAATTAATAATAAAAAATAAAAATAATAAATGCTTATATTCATATTGATTAATGAGTGTTATCAGTTGGCACCTACGATACCTATACCTACCTGTAGTAATAATGGATTTCTTTTCAAATGAAATGTTCAGTCTTTCCATTTACCTGTTTCTATATTTTACTATCGGTAATTAGGTATGTACCTGATTATCATTATGATTTTCATAAAATAAACAGATATTACATGGGATGGGAGTATAAACTATCTTTACATAATTTCAGAAATAATCTTTTTATAAATATAATACTAGTAATAAGTATTATTAACTAAGGTTTCTCTATTTTTCTTTTGATAAATACCTATGGTCGCCTCTAATGCATTTATTAAAGTAAACAATCTTGGCACAACTTTTTAACAGAATCACCCATTTAATAATAAAATATTAACGAAGCCAATAAACTATTAAAATAAATTGTTATTATAGACTGAAACCTTTTGAATCCAGTTATCAGTTGATTTTTAATGCTGTTTTTTCAATAAAAAGGAGTGCCAAGTTGGATGAATAGACTGTAGTATCTAGTAACAGAACTTTATTTTTTTATTTTTTTAAACAGATTGTCCGTTTACTATGATTAATTGCTAATATGTTAAAAAAATAATAGAAAGATAATAGTGAAGGACATTCTTTTGGGCATGCTAGGGCCGATTTCGTCGATGTCCTTTAAATAAATGGAAAAAATACCTACACGAAATTAATTATGACTCAAAGATCTTAACGGTTACTATCTAATTGCAATGTTGGATGTCTACAAATATTTTGTTTGGTACCTACTTAATTTGAAAACAACATAGACTTACATCTCGGTGTTATCGTAATACGAAAAAATACGTTCTATAGTCTGTTTCGTTTATGAGAATTTCAATTGGTAGAAATTATTGCAGATGAGTTTGTATTGAAATCTATCACTATTGCACTTTGCAATTTTGGTAATGGGGTATGAGATAAAATATTTTTTTTTGAGATGCATTCTTATGTATGAAATTTACATCCTGTGACTATGTCTATGCTATTAGAATATTTATAAGATTAACTAACTTGTTAAATAATTAATTATTGGTACAAATTATTGCAGAAGAGCAAGCATTTTAAGAATACTTAGTTGTAAAGTACCAATTAAATAATTAAATTATTTACTTAATTTTAAATAGATGAGTATAAAATGAAACAAAAAAACTATAAGTAAGCATAATTTTATTTTATTTTACACATTCATTTGGCAGTTCCATTCGTAGCAATGGCTGAAATTATTACCTGTTTACAAAAACGCTAATTGCTTACCACTAATGGTTTAACACTATCCTTCTAACATTTACTGCGAAATTACTTTGAAAAATCCCAAATATACAATGCCTATCATTAAAATAAATATAAATTACAAAGTAAGTACGAAATAATTGTTTCTACTGAAGCGCATGTAATACTATTATTTGTAACTATTTTTTAATCACATAGTCTGACATCATTGTTAACATTTAATCTAAATAATCAACTAAACATACATTTCGTTAAAGCTACTAGTTCATTTTGAAATGTGGACAGAATAAGTATATTAATCTATACTATCAGGCATTTTTGCAAGTCGATGTAGAAGAAAAGTGTATATAAATTCATCAAAAATTCCAAATTATTTTACATAGATAATCGAAACTGGTAGATTATTGGTTATAAAAATTTCAAGAAAGAACTCATCTCTAATAAATATTTTATCAATTGAAATAACATAGGATAAATACAAGAATGTATAAAGGCAAATATTAATGTATCAGTGATATTCATGAAATACATTATTTTAATTCAGGGTTGGAACAAATAAACTTACAAGCTCTAAAATTGAGTATTCAAAATTAAATTTACAATATATATTTATTGTCTATTCTGGTAAATGGAAAAAAAATGTACAAAGAGTAAACTAATAATATCACAAAATACATATCAATATTTATCAAGAAAGTAAATTACATCTTCCTTGCGTTAATAAGTGACAAATTAGCATCCAAAATAATATGCAACATAATTTTCTTGAATATGCAGAGTTGTCGTAAACGTCTATATCTGCAAAAGAAAAACACAATGTTACAATAGAAAATATTAATGTTTTAATCTAAAACGTGGACAAAGAATAAGTGCCTTATCGTAAGAAGGATACGTATTTAACTGTTACTAAGAGCCGGGACACAATGAAAAGTGGATCATAGTAAAACCTACGATTCACACAAGCGATAGTGGAAAGTTTCGATGTACAATAACCGGCAATACGAGGCAAAACAAACAGATACGATAACGTTTTATCTTTCAGTCTACCGTGCTACTGCTTAGAACTGAGGCCATACCTGCTCCAAAAATCATAAACGATGATAATAGGGCAAAGTTTGTCGTTGACCTTGCTTCAGTGTATTATGGTCTAACGCCTGTATTCAGAGACTTCAATACGTTTTTATGCAAAGTAATAACTTTTCATAAAAGCATAGCAAATAAAGATTGTTGATAGTAGTCACCCAGAAGCGCTTTATTATCGGATGCGTTTTTGCGGTTTCCGTTTTTAGTACATTATGTATATATAATATAAGTTTTACTTGATCCACTTTTTCACACTGCTGCGATAGTAGCGACGTAATAGAAGTATGACGAAATATCGCAAAAACGCATCCGATATTACCGGCTCTACTCAGGATGTTTAGATACCAATGACCAGTTACGAAGTGAACATATAAAAGATCTTTCCAATGGTGTATATGTTTTTGGAGACTTTTGATCTGAAAAAATACCAGTTGGTTGTGTACAATATTTAGATAACTTTAAATGCAAAGATATAATTTGTACCTTCGTTCCTAACATGAATTTGACCACCTCGTCACCTCATATTTTTATGAAGCTCACTGTTCCAAGTAATTTCAAAATCAAGTCTTAACAACGTAATTTCTGACCATCAATTTTATTGTAATTGCTTGGTAAGCTATATTGTGCTTGTTCAGTTTTAACAGAAAATCTATAACTTTTATAGTTGATCCACTTTTTCACTTAAAGACATGAATACTGCTTGATAATTTTATGTTTCGTCGATGAAATGGCCCCTTGTTTGATGGTAGTTATAAATTAACACAACTCTCATCTAAAATTGGTGAACTGGTGTTCTATAATTTAAAAAAAAGTCGATAGCCTCATGCTTTCTTGTTAACTTTAACTGACTCATTATTCTGTAACCTCAGAATAAGAACTAAAACATAGCAGTAAAGACATCATAGCAGTCATTTACACGATGTAATTTTCTTGCACATACAAGAGCAATAATTGAATGCAATAAATGTGGCGCAATAATTGAAGTTCAAGAATTGTAAGCAACTGTTTACATGCGGATATAGTAAAAAGGTTTTTTTTTCTAAGTGGCTTCGCACGGTTTGTGCATTTAGCCAGTGTCAAGTGTTAAAATGATTACAAATACTATAGCACTCGTTGTCAAAGTAATAAATCACGTCAAAGTAAGTGTCAGTCAAGTCAATTCTCCTTTCCCTATGTTTCAGTAAAAGTGTGGGGATTTACTGGAACCTCCCCGTGGACTTCTTGAGGGAACGTTGAAAGACACTTTCCGCTATTTTGTTTTACTTGCCAACACTTGTGCATGTTCCCGAACACTTAGTGGTTAATAATCCACCATTTTTAGACACTAACATCCGCCACAACACAATTTTTAACATAAAAAACAAAACTGCTAAAGTGACGCTTCCCGATCCCGCCAAAAAGTCCAATAAAAAGGTTGCATACAATTTAATGTCAGTTTTGACAAGAAAGAATTTCAAATGTCTTTTCTTTATACGCATACAATTATGTTTAGGAGATTATTGCTTTTAAGTTTTGAAACGTCTTGCACAGGCTTGTATGTGCGTGTACCATTTTTGGAGAGTTGCTTCAAGAATTGCACGTATTTGCGTTGGCAATTTTTTCATTCTAGTTTTGAACGTTTTAGAACTAAAAAAAACGTGGTTCGTGGAACATTCGGTTGGAACGAAGTTATTAATATACTGTTGCTAAGGGAGCAAATAACAGTTTTAAAGGCGAGAGCGTTTTTAAATCCAGAACAGGATTTTGTAGACTGTATCACATTTTGTGATATTTTCATTCTCACTACACGAGAAAAACACTATTTTTTTATAAATCCGAATTTCAGTACCTAATAAATAAATAAAAGCAGGTGAAAGAAGGCGAAATTTATTTGCGCGTATGTATTTTTCTTATACTTTTTTTATTTGGCGAGTGTGCGGATTACGTCTCTTGTTCTTAAAATGTTTGTGATCGATCTCTTTGGTGATCGGAACTTTTAGTAACATTATTACCACCCACCCCCCACAAAAAATGGCAGAATGATTTGAAGGTTACTCCCCTCCTGGTCACGTTGGTCGTGTTGCTCTATATGTCTTACTCCAGACCAAATTTATATCTAACCTACATTAGAACCTAAATATAAACACTAACCAACATAATATGCAGTTATAACAGCTTTATAATTGTGAATTTACTTAAATAGAAAAACTTACCGAAGTCTTTCATTTGCTCCACGTATGCTCCCCCTTGGAAATTTGAGCTGATTACGTCGTTCTTATGTGCTGATGAAAATTTATCTGTTGAAAATAATACACGCATTAAACGTGTTCAAGACACATCTCTTTTCTCTTTGCCTTTCCAATATTTATAAATACCTTCTGTATAGCCATTATTTACATTAATGGTTTGATAGCCTTATAGTTTTCGGAACTACATACTTATATCACAAAGTACACATTGCGCGCGCTTATCTGTATATATAAAAGGCAACCCTTATTGACTGATCCATCAAAGCACAGTTCAAACAACTCAACGGATTGCGCTAAAATTTGGCACACACGTAGATTATTACAATGCAAGCATGCGCTAAGAATTTATTTTCAAAAACCATCATCCCTAAAGGGGTAAAACGGGGGTTCAAAAGTTGACGTGGACGAAGTCGCAGGCGGCCGCTTATTCATATAGAGTCTGTGCGGAAAGAGAATGGGCGTGGCGAAAAACGGAACTAACACTAAGATTTTTTAAAGAAAAGTTTACTAGAAAAAAATCCACGCGGACCAGGCAGCGGACGGGACTCGAACCCGCATCCTTCGCAATCCGGGCGAATGCACTGACCATGGTAAAACCTTACAAATACGGTAGAAAAGCACTACAGCGCCCTCCAATCTAAATCCCATTCTCTTTCCGCACAGACTCTATCAATAAAATTTAAGCTACTTGCGACATTTAAAATTTGAGCTAATTGACTATCAAATGTAATTTGATTCATTTTTTTTATCTATTTGTCACTTGTTTTTATTTTTGTATGACATTCTGAATACTGCGTGTCAACGTTGTCATGGAATGAAATTAACTCTTGACAATTTCATGATCATTGATCATCGTTTACTTATTAATTACGCCCATTGCTGGGGCACAGGTCATTTCTATGGATGGAATACGGAGATTGAACTACAACCCAATACGAGGACTTAATAGGTACGGATTCGTAGGTTTTAACGACATTATTAGTCTCCGAAGCACGGCGGATCTTGAGAATTTTCATTACTATTAATTTTTAGGTTTGATAAAGGTTGGTGCTGTCCTTTTGTATGCTAACACTAATATTACGCTCTTAATATATGATAACACGGCAACATTTTTACACATATTTCATATAATAGACGTTTCTGGAAGCAGTCAATCGTCGGTTAGTAGTTGCAAAAATTTACATGTTAAAATTAAGTTCGAAATTGATTGTCCTAAACAATATTATTGCTGAAATACAGATTTCTAAAATTGAATTGAGTTTAGAAATGCGATGGTAAACTATAACTTAATTTAGGAAGTCTCGTTTCCTAAAGATTATTTAATTTTCAGTCTACAATTTAATAAAAAAACAATATGTATTACACCAATCAACACGAATTTTGAGTCTGAGTTCTTTGTACCAGATTTTGATTTCTTATACCTAATTAATGTAAGAAACAATATTTTTATATAAAAAAGTTTGCTTTTAAAGTTAGTTTTTTTAAAGTTTTAGCTATTAGAAGGAAATTTAAATTTCATGGAAAATTGCAAACTTTTTTGTTTAAGTTGTATATAACAAGAAATTAATCATTAATATATTTATTTAAAACTCTTTTATTTACTTTAGACAAATAAACCAAGTCTATGAATACAAAAAACATTTTGACTTAGTTTTATAAATTGATATTTTTAGCATATCTTATAATTTTTAGTCTGAAAATTCTGGGGAATATAGCTTCAGAATTTTGACGTAGAGCCTTAATAAATTGTTTCAATAAAACATTTTTTTATGCAACATAGACATTAAAATAATCATAGGGTCCATATCGAATAAGGATATATCATACTTAATATTGTATTTCTTTTTCTGAAGTAAACAAAATACCATGGAAATTTGGTATATCCTCATGTGACGCCCATATTTTATCCTGACTTCGAATAGAAAGTTAAAGTAAGCTTCATATGCTTAATTAAGCCTTTTACTACTGGATAAACAACATTTATGACCCTAAATTAAATAAAATCTCCGGAAATAAATCAAACAGACTCCACATAGTTTTTACTCATTTTGACTCCACATAGTTTAAATTTAGCATTTTACCGTTCAAGACTCACAAAATACGTCGTTTCTCTAAAATGTGTGAACACACACTGAGTGACTGCTCTACTGATTCCTGTTTAATACCCGATATCCTACTGCGCTCCTTTCTTTTGCTTGTTAAAAGCAGTAGTCTTTCAGCCTCTTACCAAAATCATACGTTTTTATTTATCATTGTGTAAAGTACAAAAGCAAACTTTTTTAAATAAAAACGAGGTTGCGGGTAATTTTTCGAGGTAAACAATCAGACAATAGTCATTCAATGACTGACTCAATTTTTTTTTTCATTTTGTTGAGTAGTGTTATATTCACTTACCTTTTTTTCTAATGGTTTGATTGTCTAAAATACTTTTTTGTGTAGTTGTATAAGCTGATGGTGGAGCTGGTATTTCTGTAGAAAAAAGAAAATATGGTAAAAATGAAACATTCAAAAGCTACTATAGCCTTCCTTAATAAATTTAGGACCTCGCATTATTATTCCGGAATACAAATGGATTATCAGCTCAACTTGGAGCCTCTTTTCAATAAAACTAATTGTCGATACGACTTTATTCCGTCTAGGTTTTAATTTATCTCTCTTACTTGAGAATTGCTTATATTTCAATAATAAAAGACAATTTAGCTTTCTGAATGTTTAAGCGTTTTCTGGTATATTTTCGAAACGTAGGATTAAAATAAAAAATCCTTTCCTCAATCCTTCATTTTCCCTCGTTTTGACAAAAAGATAAAGATTTCTGTGTGCTGTTGTTATTTTGAGTTCTTCAACTCAAAGTGCTTGACAAAGTGTACCTTGGGATTGAAACTACGAATAATATATTAACTCGTCACGATTATCTCTTTTTTATAGAAACACTAAGGGACAAAGCAAGCAGCAACCGTAAATCAATTTGCATCGTGCCAATATAACTAAATATAGAAATTGAACTTTTTTCTTTGTTGTACGCATTATTGTTAGCCATGATTTTATAATATAGCCTCTTACGAATTATTCCTCATTCATAGGTTTATTTTTATAAATATAAACGTAAAAATAAACGTTGTATCCACTAATAGTCACAAGTGCTATGTCGTAACTATAAAGGTGGCTACGGTCGACAATTTATCACAACATACAAACCCTCGGGAACAATTTGTTCCTTTGTCTACAGCAACTGAATATCAAGAACTTCACATTTCCTCTCTTAAAATAACTAAGTACGACCTAAAGTTGCATTTTTGATTTTGATCGAGCGCAATAAAATTACTAGTGTCGCTAATTGTCAATTTGTTCAATAAATCTATACTGTTAATTTCAGCTAGCTACTTATAAATATTTTACCAGAAACACGGTGTGATTGCTACTTGAAAATTTCGTTTACACACACGAACCTGCTGACTTATTTATTATTTTGTTTACGTATGATGCTATTTAAGCGTGGAATCTTAAAAGGCTTTGTAAGGCAACTTGTAAAATTTAGTACTCACGCTTTAAAACCCTCATCAAGGTATAAACAATCCTTGAATGTCTATATTTAACCCTTGTGAAAACCCAACATTTCTGTTTACACCATTCTCTTACATTTCTTAAATATGATTGTTTGTTACACCTAACAAAATGGAGAGAAAAAAGCTGTCTTTGCTGAGTTTTTGCTAGGTCTTCTTAGCGCAAGATCTCTCGTTAAAGATTTTAATGAAGAATTTTATATATACCTTCTGTACATTTTTGTCAAATTGATAAAGCATAATTAAATGTAATAGACGACTACTTTTAAAAATATGTAATGATATAATCTGATTTATTATTGCTGACAGTATATCATGACAATAGGAGGCTTAATTTGTGTACCTATTGCCATCGTTTTAATTCTATCAATAAATCTTAAACTTTTTATCCCATGTTATTTTGCATATTAATTTAACGTATTGATAGTATTAAAATTTTATGGTAACCTTACCATTCTTTCAACTTTCACAAGTTGCCAAGTGAATTATTTATTTAATCAATCAATACTAAAGAAAGTTGATGTAAAGTATTATATACTTTGAGTTCTTTAACGTAATCCTTACCATCAAGTTTAATGATGCCATCAGTTTCACCGAGCGAATTCTTGGCGATGCACTTGTAGAATCCGAAGTCGTCTTTTGTTATATTTCTTATCTTCAACATCATGTATTTGTTGTAGCCACTGTCCGTCGGAAACGCCTCATATTTCCCACCTACAATTTCCATTTCTACTTAAATATAAAACCTGTGTATGTTACCACGAGGGACATCAAATTAAGGTTGTTTATTCTAACAAGCAGGTGCCTACCCAAGAATAACATACAAATGAATATTCCGCTGGAGAATTTTCCGTTGTTAGTTTATCTAACCTTCTTTCGAAGAGACTTATTATTTATTTTTTCTCAATGTTTTTTTTGATCCATCGTTATTTGGCTAGGACAAACATTCGTTTATGTACTATCTATGTGTACTTCAAATATGTATTCGATTATATGAGTACCATAGAAAGAATACGAGAGAAATACTAAAGAACTTTCAAAATGAAATTTCAGTTAGTTTATCAAAAAGTATGGGACACTTATTTTCTCTATTGAACATGATCTGAGAAAAATTGACAGGTTATCCAAAATTGTGTAATTTCTCCAAGAAAATTTGATTTTAATCTGTCAGTCAGCAGATTATAATCGGATGGAGAATTCCATTGAACTTGTAATTGCAGCTCAAATTTTCCAAATCATTGCTTTTATTTCATTATGTATTTATCTATTGGCACACCGTGGATGCATGACTTTTGCTAAAGTTAAACAATGATATTCCTTTGTACGTTTGATTATATTCAGATTGATATTCAGTTTCCAAGATACAAGCGGTAACAATGAGCCTAGTACATAAGCTTACAGATGTTTTTTTTTCACAAAATATCTGGGCTTTTTTGTAAGCTAGATTTTAATAATGTATAAGCTATTCATTATTAAAATCTAGCTTAATCTATTAGGAGTCCTTGTTAAAACTATATAAGCGTAATATTGAGCTAAAATATACTGACAATCACATTGACTCATCGAAACATAGTACGGGACTTGGCAAGGAAAATGTACAAAATATATTTTTTATTTCGTTTGGTCTCGATCGATCAAAGCACAAAGAGAAAATCGTTTGTGAAGAAGCTTATTTAAAAAAAAGACTCACCGGAAATGATCATGTCCCCTTTGTCTGTGGTCCAGTAATTAATGGAGGACGGAAAGGCTTCTGTGTGACATTCCAACGTCACGTCCTGTCCAATGTATGCGCCCTCCAACTGGTTTGGTATCGACAGCATCGGCGGAACTATTTTAATGAAATTTAAAACATAGTTTTGCGTTTATAAAACGTTAATGATGTTATTATTCTCCAGTTTTAAGCCTTTCACTCATGAGCGCGTTATTATTGGACGATAATAACGGATACAATTTTAATATATGTGATTTTAGTGCATTATGTATCAGAACGACTACAAAGTTTTACACTTCTGCAATAATAACGACGCAATAAAAACGCGCGTATGGGGTTGAGGCCTTTTAGGCTCAATACGATAGATGAAATGAATTATAGAAAAACATGGCTGGTTTCCTTCGACGTATCATAGATTCGCATTTCGTATTGCAATTAAATTGATTTATTGAAGTAAGATTTTAAACTTCAAAAGTTATTAACGTCTTACTTTCGTCTGGTGTCGCAAATATTTAACCTTCTGTCAAATTAATGTTCAGTACACAAGTTCTAAGAAAATAATTCATGATATGCAAAAGACACACAAAAGGCCTGATTTCAATCTTAGGATACTACGCATAGTGAATTTTCCTAAATGCTGTCACAACAAGACAAATTAATCTTTTACTCCTCTTGACAGTCGTGGTAGAGAACTATTGGTAGAGTATTATTAAATAGCGAAATTGAACGTTATTGAAATAGCGAACGGAAGAGTAGACACTAATACCTTAGTTTGTCTTCTGTCAAAAGTAGAGCTACATTGTACGAGGTATTGCCAAAAATAGCTACTTTTAACTCCATCTGGCTTCTGATATCAAATGTACTATAATATAGAGTTTATTTTTATTATAGAACTTCGACTCAATAAATTTATATGAAGTAAAAGTATTTGGTAGTTCATGTCTTCAGGTTATACTTAAAGATCATAAATCTCGTTAAAATTTTGACTTTCTGCAAAGACTGTTTTCTTTTATTATAAAAATCAAAACAGTCATAGTATTAAATAAGGTTTAATAATCATTTAGGTACAGTAGCAGTTATTGTGTACCCATCAATAACGAATTCAACTCATGGACTCCTGTCAAAATCCAATCCAGAGCCTGAATTTTTTCATTATCTATAATATTAAATAACTAGCGTCTAGCCTCTTATTGAAGGTTCGAATATGAGTTGTCTAGTGATCGTACATGAAGTAGGTATCATTAATTAATCAATGTCAGATACTACTTTTGACATCAAATTTATTATATGTAACGTCTTAGTGATTTCAATAACGATACTAATAAGTTAAAAAGAAATAAGTTACACTAAATATAACTTGAGAGATATATTCATGATCAAATTATAAATCTTTTTGGCTGTATGTTTGTTTTCATGCTTACACGAAATTAAATTTTCAGTCAGTAAGAAATGAAAGAAAAGTCTAAGCAACATGTTGAAAGATTTTGAACTTTTCGAATTGACGATTTTTCTATTGTAATATATTTAAACTACACTCTAATGAACACAATCGAAAAGTTTCTATTTTAAAGTCAGCCAATTATATTTACCATGCCAATCTACTTCGCTTAAGAATAAACTAAACAACAATTGAGGCCATGAGAACCATAGTGGACTAACTCATTTTTTTACAATATTGAGTAGTTTATGCTTTTGTTCGGTTCAAATTGATCATTTTGATAGAACCAGAGTGGTCTAAAAGTGATACAACGAATATTCACTAGATGGCAGTATAATCACTGTTACGGTTTGTAGTCTGTGATCTTAATTTGAGGTGTCATACTGGCCTAAGTAAGATAGGCACCTAAGGTTAAAAAATGAGTTAGGGCACTATGGTTCTCATCTTCTCATGGACTCAATTTATAAAACATACTAGCAATAGTATGTTTTATATACTATTTCTGGTAGTGAATAGAAAACAAAAATAATTCCGGCACTCACACCAATAGGGAATATGCATGTAATTCAAATAGACCTATTTTTATATAAACTCTATTACTTTTAAGTTGTCCTAACATCGATATTTATTAATAAAAAAAATATGTGAACAAGAAATAAATGATGTAAAAGTACGAAAATCTTCTGGGAAATTCAACTATTTTGAAACGCATCAAGAGCGGTTGTGACGTATAAATATAACAAACGTGATGTTCACAGGTTATACGAGTACCATGTCCACAAGATATAGTGCGAGTGCGTAGATGTCAAGCCGCGTTCCGCCTAGACACCGAATTCAACTTTTCACCAAAGAGGATATAACCACTATTTTTTAACCGACTTTAAAAACGGAGGAGGTTCTATGTTCGTCTGTATTTTTTTTAATGTATGTTTACCGATTTCTCCGTCAATTGTGGACCGATTTCCAAAATTCTTTTTTTATTCGAAAGAGTGGAATCCGGAGAAATCGAGGGAAACCTTCAAATTTCAAAGGCACGCATGATGTTTTTTATGCATGTTAATGTGTTATTGTTTACTTGGACGATGTAATTTTCACTAAAATGGATGAAATATTTTTTTTAAAATAATATATAACCGACTTCATAATCGAAAATGGAACTAAAAAGTATTGAAACATTAAATAGATTTTCGTTTCTGATCGGTAATAATAAGTCTTTAAATCTTGACCCGTCTGACTTCCAAATCATGAACCAGATATTATTTTTTACTTTTTAGTTCCATTTTCGATTATAAAGTCGGTTATATTTTTTTATTTTTATTTTTTCACTATTACATTTAAATGTTTATCAAATATGTATAAAATTAAACAAAATGTCCGACGACGAATGCAGAGATTCCGACTGCCATCCGCAGTGAGGGTATGGATAAAATAACGGTAATTTGTAAGGTCATTGATCTTGTTTGTAGGTTTATATGTATCATTAAGTCACTCCCAACGTTCGAAAATGCGCGAGTTTAAACTGCCCGTGCGAAGTGGCGATTTTTAACATTTATTTAGACACTCTATACAATATTTTTGACGTAGTTTTTATATAATATTTAAAGGAGAGGTAAACTACTAAATAAAAGTATATAAAAAAATCTTGCATATTCCCTATTAGCCTAGCCCCAAAGTAAGCACTGTAGGGTTGTGTTATGGAATACTAGGGTAGCGGATAGAATACATATACTGATACATATATAAGTATAATTATATAGAAATACATATTAAAAATCCATGACTGGAATACAAATGCTCGTATTCATCACACGAACATCTGGCCCCATCGGGATTTGAACCCGGGACTTTTAGAGTAGGTGACACCTTGAGATCTGGCGTACATACCAATTGGTCACGAAGGTAGAACGACTTAAGCTACTTTTGGTCGTGAACTAAACTTGAACGATGTGAAATCCCAAGCTGATCGTTTGTTACAGAAAACAATTATTTTTATGTAGGCAAAGTTACAATAGATAGCAATCACGACATCGTGCACTTAATTTAACTGTAAATGGTTATAGAATAGACGATGAAAGTTCGTATGGGTATGGTAAAAAGGTATTTATACAGATAATTAAAAAGCACATACACAAATAAATATAGTTTAAAATTTAAACTTAGAAGAAAACAAGTTTTTTTTTTCTAGATATATTTTCTTAGAGATTTAAACATCGAGCAGTTACATGCTTAAAAAATAAAAATATAATATGATTGAAGTTAATCTCAGAACGTAATAACCTACTTGATGAACGGAAATACAGGTAGTTAAAAATCGAATTGCAATACTTACATTGTACCATCAGCATGATTCGTTTGCTGATGGATGGAGGCACGCCGTTTGATGCGATGCAGAGGTAGGCGCCCATGTGCAGCCGTGACACCTTTGTAATGGTTAAGGTTTCACCGTCTACTACGCTTACTACGACAAAAAAAATACTGTCTTACTACAAAAAAGGTTAGACACTGTTTTAACCAAAGTTAGAATTTCTTTAGGTTTTGTATGACATTTTTTCATAAATGTCATACAAAACCTAAAGCCTAAACACTCGGCGACGGAGGTAGAATGACTTAAGTTACTCTTGGTCGGGAGAATTAAACTTTAACGATGTGAAATCCATGATAATGATTTATTACAGAGAACAATGTTTTTATGTAGGCAAAGTTGCAGTAGATAACAACCACAACATAGTACACTCAATTGAACTTTATATGGTAAAAGAATAGACGTTGAACGTTCGTATGGGAAGCGCGAAAAGGTATTTAAACAGATAATAAATTATAGCACATACACGAATATAAAGAGATTGAGCATCAATTTAGCATTCCAATACGACTTATTTGATATTAGTTTAACCCTGTCTTACAAACTTAAACTTAGCGTTTATATTAACAAGTCAAAGCTGTTTTATATTTATCAAATATAGGTCTAGGAAAAATCATTACTTTACAATCAAGAAAAACTTAAAAAAATATTTGACCGTCATTGAAGAGCTCCGATTTGAATAGATTATTAAATTAGATAGTAATTAATTTAATTTAAGCCACTATGAATCTTTTAGGTTGTACTAATAACAATTATTTCGGAAAAGAAAACAAATAATATTACTTACCTGATTCCCCATTGTAATTGAAGTCTTGTCCGTCCTCCCGCCTCCACATGACATAAGGTTCGGGGTACCCCGACGCGCGACACACCAAGGTCACATCGGAGCCCTCCCGCACCACCATGTCGGTCGACGTCATGTTATCGATGATTGATGGTGGCACTGCACGAATAGACACACTCAATAAACCAGTGGCACACTGACTTTCGAAACTTACTTGGATATTAATGGACCCCCGATTTATAATAGGTTATCAGGAAGTTTTAGACTCTATTTGAAAATAAAGTATTTAGTTTAGTTAAATACTGGTGTCGATTCTGGTAAGATTCTCTAAACCTAAATTATAATTGGGCAACAGTGTATCCTTATTATTCTCTATACAGATTAGTTAAATTTAAGTTTACAGTTATCATGCCAGAATCGACACCAATATCACTTTAAACGTTTACTTAGAACTGTTTCTTTGGGACTTTTTTATGCAATAGTTTTAATAAAATATGAACGTTAATATTATCAAACTCATTTCAAGATTTATTGACAATAAATATTAATTGCGCTGTCTAACTCGTTAACAATGATTTGATTTAATGTTTGGAGTGCGTGAAAACTTAAGAAATAAATAAGATTTATAAATATTTGTTTCTTAGGTTTTCACGCACATCACTCATTAAATAAAACTAGTTTAAACGGGATAATGCACGAAACTTTATTTATTTATTGACGTTTCGTAGCCTTTACAGGCTTCGTCGTCAGAATAAAACTTTTGTTTAATTTGTCGAGCTACCTTCGAAAGACTTTTATTGAGCGTTTGGTTATTTCATCGTTCGATTTTTAAGTTTTATTGTCTATGTATGAATTTATTATTTAATTTACTTAATAAAGTATTTTATTTAAAATTCTTGTTTGTAATTTTGCGTTTATTTATTTGACCCTAACTACCGTAAACTACCACCGGTTCCAAAATTGGGAGACCTTCCTGAGAAGAACCGGCGAAACAAACTCAAGAGAGGCTTTCTATCTCCTTCTTATGTTAAATTATGCAAACAAAAAGAACTAATAGTATCTGATGGTCTTGCAGTATGTGCTCGGGGTTGGGATTTTATCTCCTGTATAATAGGTTCCCAAGCTGGTGGTATATACCAACCATCTTCCCTATTGAAATTTGGATATTTTTTAATCTCAATAGCCTCGCGTATCATTCGAGGAACGAAACGCCGCTCAGCTGCAAGGATCTGTGGTCTATCAAATCTAATGTAGTGGTTTGGTCCCCCTAATACATGTTCACACACTGCAGATTTATTTTCGCGCCTATGTTTCATATCTGCGATATGTTCTTTTACGCGAGTCCCTATACTCCTCTTTGTTTGAACGATGTAGGAGAGCCCACAGTCGCATTCAAGTTTGTAGACACCAGCAACTTGAAAGGGTATATTGCACTTGACTGGTCGTAGAAACTGGTTGATCTTCTTTGGCGGCTTGAAGTATGTATTGATTGAAGCACGCTTCAGAATCCTCCCAATCTTGTCAGTGACTCCTTTCATGTAAGGTAGTATAGCAGGTTATCGGTCGACTGTGCTAGGTTTGGCGCGACTGTGACGGCGACGTGGTACATTCAGGTTATTATCCTTCACTATTATTCTAACGACGAAGCCTGTAAAGGCTACGAAACGTCAATAAATAAATAAAGCTTCGTGCATTATCCCGTTTAAACTAGTTTTATTTAAGATTTATAAAATTAGAAAACAGCGTGAAATCGGAACATACTGTACACAGACCGTAACAATATTTATTTATTCCTTAACAACACACTAACATTGTGTTGGAAGTACTTGAGATAAAATTATATTATTTTACACATTCATAAAAAAATAATTGATAAAAAACAGAATATCTGACCAATAACTAAAAATTTTAATGTCAATAATATAAAAAAGAATCGATAACATTGCATAATTATTGGGATGAGAAAATTGGAATATTGCACTTACGTAAATAAATAAATATGATAAAAAAATACAATAATAATCTGACTAATTCCTAAAAATAACAATGTCAATATTAAAATTATCAGATATGCAGTTATTTTTCAATAGAACTTTCGCTGGCAATCCTAGTCACTAGGATATGTGAGTTATTGTACCCAACACATTTTAAGGAGATAATTGAAGATGTTTTTTTTTTAATGCATATTTGATAAACCTTTTTATATAGATTATATAAGTCACGGTTCTCAGGGGATACAACACAATGAGACAAAATTAACATTATGGTTACCTATTAATAATATTTCTACCACCGCCTACAAGGTACTATTACGTATTTTGCGTTTTTCTTCTATAAAAATATTTGAATGCATAAGGTCACAGGTTAGATCCATACATCATAATTACAAAGATTAATGAAGTATACTATTAAGTACTTAACATTATAATGACTGTTACTTACGGAATAATTAAGGTTTATTTTGACATGAAAAGATACATGATTTTTTTTTATCCACGCAAAATAAGTGAATAAGTAGAACAAATATTATAAATATGAAAGTTTTTAAGTTTGTTTCTAAATCAAGCAAAAACGGATTAACCGATTTGGATGAAATTTTACACACACAGTCAGCTTATAACCTGGAAGGAGACATAGGATACCTAGTTTTTATCCCGGAAAAGTAATATTCCTTAAAAACTAAAGTCACTGTAGACAAAGTCGCTGGCGGCCGCTAGTTAATAATAATTACTTCGACTTTCTGAAAATACTTACCACTATTCTGTAATAGGAGTGCTACTAACCTACGACTTGAAGATAGCCTTTTCTTGAGCGCATGGGGTCAGTATTGACCTGACACATGTACCATCCTCTATCAACTTCTTGTACTTCCTTGATGTGGAGATACCACGACCGATGGTCGTTGTACGATAGGCTGATCCGAGGGTTCTGTGTTATGATGTTATGGTGGATGCTTAAAATGGTTTGCGTGTCCATTCTCACCCATGCAACCTGAAAAGAATAATATTTATTTAGTTTTATGTAAAATTATTAGGAATTACACCAAATTTTGGATCATTTGAGAATAAGACATATTCCTTAGTACATCGTTTTAAGTATCGACATGGACAATAATATTATTGGTCCATGGTATCGTGAAACTTTTGACAATGAGTTCCCGAATTTCAAAGTCAAACTTCGCATGGACTTCTGTGATGATAAGATTATAAACTTCATATTTTGTTCCTCAATGTTTCATATTTTCCTAATCTTAAAATGAAAATATATTTTATGAAGGATGAAACAAACGTAATATACCTGTGTCTAAATATCTTATTACAATAAATGTCTTATTACGTTTCATAAGATTAGTCAAAACTGAGAAATTCGTATAAAATGCGAGGATAAAGACTCCAAAAATGAAACTTGGGGTTTAAAATAGCGTTTATACGAAACATCTAAAATATGTTTCGTATAAACGCTATTTTAAGCCCCCTGTTATATATATAAGGTAGGCAAAGACTATCCCACCTGACGTTAAGTTAGTTAGTAATGAAGTATCAATAACAATTTCTTACCTTGAATCCTCTTAAATTTTCGACTACGCACGCTAACAGTGCATCCCGGCCTATCGTGACCGTAACGTTGGGTATAGGCTCCGCGAATCTCGGGTACATAGATTCTGAAAAGGATTACACAATCTAAAGAAACTAGAAAAAATCACTCGATCTAGGTATCAGACAGGATTCGAACCTGCACCTTCTGCTATCCGGGCGGACGCACTTACCAATAAAATTATGCTATCGTTTATGACCGATTTATTAAATAATACTACCGACCTTTCTATTAATATTTTCATCCGATTAATAAATATAGCAGTTTAATGCTTAAAATAACAGTACAAAGTGAATTTTGAGTTACCTGCGAGCCTTAAAAATTGTGCTAATAAAAATAGTGAGATCACAAAAATATTGATTTATTGATATCGTGTACAAAATATCCTAAAACGGTGCAAATTTGTAAATAACATATACCTATCATGGAATATGGAGTGGATTCTTAAAGTAGTTAATCAATTTATAACATTAATTGCTAAGGTTTCATAATTGCACAATAATTCAGTTAATGTCGAGACACTCTGAGAAAAAAATAATGAAGGATATTTTTTGGGTAGATATATAACCTAAATCGTTAACTTAATCAGCTAGTAAAGTTTCTCGGGTAACTCAAAATTCTAAATACAGGATTATACAGTTTTTATATAGGTCCGATATAATAAAACCTAGCAATAACCTTGTTTACAAGCGCCAAACTTTCAGATCGATGGACCAAAAGTACGCCGTTTGTGACTTTGTCACAAACATGCCTTGGTTGCGTATTTTATGGACGCGGTTACATTTCAAGCGATTTTCGCATTATGTTTTTATTTACAGAAATGTTGACTTCAAATAAATATCTTTAGGTATATGTTGGTAAGTTTGGTGTGCTCTATTTTCAATAAACAATACATTTCAAGATATTAGATGTCACTGTTTTTAAAGCGATTATTATTATTAAACGAATAATCAAGTTTTGTTCATGTCACTCAAATAAAAATGGAATTAATTTTTTTTTTTTATTAATTTTTTGTTGGTCCCGGCGGCCTGCGGGCCCAATGCAGATCGTTGAGCCCACGTGGTGGTTTCTAGCCATTTTCCTTATGCCATCAGTAGGGGAGGTCTGTGCCCCAGATTCGATATGAACGTCCACGAACTATTAGAGTCAGATCATAGGCCCGCCAAACCTTATTTATTTTCCGATGGGCCAAAATATGACTAATCGAGCATTAGTGTTTGCAATGAACGTATAAATATTCGCTAACTTGTGCTCCTTGTTGTGTGTGTACCAATTCTCAGGTATCAGGTGGCACAGGTACGGAACAATTTTACTCATTGCACTTTACTTACAGTCTGAGTACTGATTCTTATTTTTTTTGTAGAGAATATTGCCTAAACTACCCGGGAAATTAGTACTGCCAGATACATTCTGCCAGCAGTATTAATTGCCAGACAATTCAAATGTCAAAAGCAAAAAAAAACAACCTTTTTTATTTTATTCTTCAGCATCTTGGACTATATGTGGAGTCAGGAACGCTGATTAATGTTCGCTCGCAAAGAAAAGTTGTTTGTCGCTGTAGCGTTTATATTTATGAAAATATTTGCTTATAATAATCTTTATATTGTTTATAATTTTTATATGTTCAAGAAAATATAAACATTTTTTGTTTTATTTTGCTGGCATACTACAACTTCCTCTTCGTTTAGCTATCCTTTACCGCAAAGGTTGTCTGGAAGAGATCGCTTAAAACGATAAGGCCGCCTTTTCCCACATTATGTTATTGTTTACTTTTTTTGTATTCTTTTGTGTGTGTGCAGTAAAGAATTTATCTATCTATCTATTTCCGTTGCCATTTAATTTCATTATCGCGAGCGTCGAAATGGTGTTCTTATTGTTGGCGTTGAATTTAGTTCAAATGACTGTAAATTGTAACTCAATCTAAAGACATGCACAATTTCAAACTCTCGTTTCCTGTTATCGTTCGAGGTAGGACCGCGTCATTGGTGCCGTCGCGTCTACTGTTCGTACGATATGAACGTCCACGAACTACGTGAAAGCGGGAACGCTGATTAATTTAATCTATCAAACAAATAGCCGCTTTTCGTTCATATGTATGGAAAACTTTGCCGTTGCCATTAAATTTATTTTCGGAAGTGGTAAAATGACATTCTTACCTTTTAATTTTTTCTTAACTGTCATTGACGTTGAATTTAATGCATAGACTGTAAATTTTATTATTACTCGAATTGACATTCATGCACGATTGAAAATCGTTTCCTATTATCGCTCGAGGTCGAACCGCATCGTTGGTGCCGTCGCGTCTACTGCTCGTACGATATGAACGTCCACGAACTACGTGAAAGCGGGGACGCTGATTAATTCTAGCTCTCAAACAAATAGCCGCTTGACGTTCATATATATAGAAAACTTTGCCGTTGCCATGAAATTTATTTTTGGAAGTGGTAAGTATACGTACCTTTTATTTTTTTCTTATCCGTCATTGGCGTTGAATTTAATTCAATGACTGTAAATTTTATTGTAACTCGAATTGATATTCATGCACGATTGAAAACTATCGTTTCCTATTATCGCTCGAGGTCGAACTGCGTCGTTGGTGCCGTCGCGTCTACTGTTTGTATGATATGAAGGTCCACGAACTATGTGGAGGCGGAGACGCTGATTAATGCTCACTATCAAACAAACAGCGGTTTTTTGTTGTTATTTTATGGTTAAATTGCCGTTGCCAACACCATTTGTTCTCCTTTTCAAGGAAATTCTACGATATGAAAGTGAATATCAAATATTTTTTATACTTTACCTGCTCGGAAAGTGCTTTATTTTTGTTTTGAAAATGAAGCAGTTTGTACTACTAAGCGGGTTGGAAAAGTGTATAGAATTCCAATTCTAACGCGTAAAGAACACAGTAAAAAGTACTCTGATTATTTTATTGTTACTGAGTTTTTAATTTGTGTTCCTATCTACTCAAGACATCGTATATTACTGATAATGAAGATTTGTTGACACTGCCTAAGCAGTCATTAAGAACGTACTACCGGTGAAATCAATAAATAGCTCCAAGGCAAAAGTTTAGTACTTAACTGTAAAAACTATAATATAAATTTCAATTAAAACATTTGTCTTTTATTTCCTCGTAGATATAGTAAAAGCACTAAGTATTTCTCGAAAGAAAGTGCTATTCCGAACTCGGGTGTATTAAGGCTCTTGGCTGCGCCTCGGGCCTCAAACTACACCCTCGTTGGTAATCGATCACTTTCTCCTCTCGTTGAACAATGTAGTATTTTATATTTAAAGGGCGACAACACCAAAGCCTATAGTTAGACGCTTACGATACCAAAAATCCCAATCTATAGATACTAGTAAATAAACAAATAACTTCATTCAAATATGTTGTAGTTTTCAGAAAATAGTACTATTGCTTATTGAGTGACTATTTTGTTTTACAATTAAATTTTCGTAAAATTGTGTATGTCATACATAATATAAATTCTATATTAATATTGGTAGTCCGTTTTCATGAAATGTGTCCGAACATTTAAAATGGATCGTTTTAGTGTATCTCGATTAAATAGGTTAGAGTTAATTGCGAACTGAAACAACAAATTAAATTGTATCCATTGTGTTCAACAGTTAATTTTGAGGCTACAAAGCGGAAGGTACACCATGGCTGATGAAGTTTATTAAAGCCTGTAATTTTGTGTTCAACTACTATGGCGCTTTAAATTTTAATAATTTAGCTTAACTCGTACCTAATTAACTATGTATTAAGTTTATACTATGACTAAATATGACCTACATAAGTGCTGTTTGCACGAAGAAATAAGTAATACTATAGGTTTGTTAAACATTAACTCATAATATACATTTTTGTCATCAATATTCTATCAGTCAATGGTTACTAATTCATGATTAACAATTGCATGTAATTTACCTATTTTGAATCTATCTATTATACTTATAATTTTCGTTGTGTATGTTTACATCAGTCTTCACGGATTTAATTACAAACTCAAAAATTAAAGAAAAAAAACTAAATTTATTATTGATAAATTTTAATAAAGTTATTTTATAAATTAATTGATTTACTTTCCTGTGTAACAAAGCGCCGAATTTTACCAGAATTCGCAATAAACGTAATAGACTCACAAACAAATAAACATCCTGTGTAAACTGAAATTTCAATAACAATATAAAACTCTGTTAGATTATAAAGTAAATTAAATATATAAAACACATTTTATCGCGGTAAAAGCTTTTCCCTTACAGTACCTGCAATTCTAAAATCCTTGCAGACGAAGTCGCGGTCTCAAACTATTAACTTCGATAAAATTGAAAAAAGTTGGCCAGTCGGTCTAATGTACAAAGGTTCTTTTAAAGCCATCGATCAATACAGCACAATCGACCATCGAATGAATGGAATAAATGTCATCTTGGTACGTGCCAACCATTCGTAATGCACACAAGTATTTCTCAACAGAGCAATCAACTGTTTAGGGTCAAAGGACAGATGAAAGCTCCGTGCTCGTGGGTACCGACTGCTTTCAAGTCTTCTTGATCAAAGCTACATAGAATTCTTGCGATTGAGAAATCTAAGGTTGCCGCTTAGCAGATTTCAAGACACACACCTGGATGTATGAGAATCAATCATTTATTTTTCTCTCACATAGAAGTAGATACCACCACTTGTGGTTTACAAAATTTTATTGAGTATTTACATTATGTATACTATTGTGAGAGACTGGTGCCTGACGTTACAGTGAAACCAGAACCCTCTCGCAGACTACATATTACATGATTTAATATAGAATAGTTCTTCTCTTGAGTTTGAGGAGTTAGCGCGTTCGGCTGCGATCGTTGAAGCTAAGCAACTTTCGCAGTGGTCGGTCATTGGATGGGTGACCAAAAATTTACTATCTCGAGCTCCTCCGTGCTTCGGAAGGCACGTTAAGCCGTTGGCCCCGGCTCCATCTGCAGTTGTTAGCACCCACCAATCCGCACTGGGCTCGCGTGGTGGGTCATGGCCCAATCTCCCTATTCCATCCATAGGGAAGGCCTGTGCCCCAGCAG